ACAGGCCTACCTCAAGAAACAAGAACAATCCCAAATAGTCTAAACTCAAAATTAAAGAAATTACAAAAAGGGGAACAAATGAATCCCAAAGTTAGTAGAAGGAGGGACATAATAAAGATCAGAGCAGAAATAAAATACAGAGAAAACTAAAACAATAGGAAAAAAAGTCAGTGAAACCAAGAGCTGGTTCTTTGAGAAGATAAATAAAACTGACAAACCCCCAGCCAGACTTCTCAAGAAAAAAGGAGAGAGTACACTAAACAAAATCAGAAACAAAAAAGGAATAGTCACATGGATACCACAGAAATACAAAGAATTATTAGTGAATACTATGAAAAATTAAATGTCAATAAATTGGACATCCTAGAAGAAATGGAATGATAATGAAATTGAATTGGTAATCCAAAAACTTCCAACAACAAAAGTCCATATCCAGATGGCTTCACAGTTGAATTCTACTAAAAAATTAAAGAAGAGCTAATACCCATCCTTCTTAAAGTATTCCAAAAAGTAGAAGAGGAGGGAATACTTCCAAACTCATTCTATGAGGCCAGCATCACTCTAATACCAAAACCAGAGACACTACAAAAAAAGAAAAATTTAGACCAATATCCCTGATGGATACCATAGGGATGGTAGTACAGCATAAAGAATATATATAGTCAGTGATTCTGTAACATCTTCCTATGTCGACAGATAGTAACCACATTAGTAGGGGGGAGGATTTAATGATATGGGTAACTGTTGAACCACTGTGTTATACACTTGAAACCAATGAAAGGTTGTATATCAGGGAACCCTCCTACACTGCTGGTAGGAGTATAAATTAGTTCAACCATTGTGGAAAGCAATATGGAGGTTCCTCAAAAAACTAAAAATAGAAATACCACTTAACCCAGGTATTCCACTACTAGGAATTTACCCAAAGAAAACAAGTTCTCAGATTCAAAAAGACATATGCATCCTGTGTTTATTGCAGCACTATTTACAATAGCCAAGATGTGGAAGCAACCTAAGTGTCCATCAGTAGATGAATGGATAAAGAAGATGTGGTACATATACACAATGGAATACTATTCAGCCATAAGAAAGAAACAAATCCTACCATTTGCAACAACATGGATGGATAGAGGGTATTATGCTCAGTGAAATAAGCCAGGCAGAGAAAGACAAGTGCCAAATGACTTCCCTCATTTGTGGAGTGCAACTACGAAGCGAAACTTAAGGAACAAAATAGCAGCAGACTCAATGACTCCAAGAAGGGACTAGCCCTTACCAAGGAGGAGGGGTGGGGGAGGGAGGGAGAAGGGGAGGGGATTCAGGAGTATTATGATTAGTACATATGGTGTGTGTGGAGGGTCATGGGGAAGACAGCGTAGACCAGAGAAGACAAGTAGTGACTCTGTGGCATCTTACTACACTGATGAACGATGACTTCAAAGTGGTATGGCGAGGACTCGATAATATGGGTGAATGTAGTAACCACATTGTTTTTCATGTGAAACTTTCATAAGAGTGTATATCAGTGATACCTTAATTTAAAAAATGGAGGAAAAAAAAGGTTGTATATCAATGATAATTCAAAAAAAAAGGTATAGACATATATATATGGAAAAAAAATCCTGGAAAGATAGAAGAGAAATTGTTAATGATGACTGCCTTTAGGGTATGGGAATGTGAAGGGAGAGAGGAAAAGGAAGGAAGGGGGACTTTGACTTACTTTACATGCTTCTGTGCTATTCTATTTTAAATCATCACCACATGGTATATGTTTAAAGTTAACAAATACATTGTAGAAATGTAGAGACTAGTATATGTACAAGAAAAAAAAAGCTGGAGGAATATGCAGCAAATTATTATAGTGTTTGTGTCTAAAGACACTGTGCATTATTCACTCCTATAATGTTTTAACTTTTAACATTATTTCACAGTAAAAATTGCTATGACTTCTCTTCAATAACTCAGGACCCCACTTTTCAAGGGCTCCAGCTAGGCACCACTGCTCTATGTGGTAATAACTGTTATGCAGATACTCCTGCCTTAGGGCTAAGAGAGGGAGAGAAGTTCAAAAGTTTACTGTGTCCTCTTCATTTCACTGTGACCCCAACTCCACTTACAACATCACACCCATTGCCCATTCCATTGTCAGAAATACAAACTCTGGCAATGTACGTGGGATTCTCCTTCCAAAATCCCAAAGTTCAACCACAAATATTTACTGAGTTCCATCCGTGGGCCAGGAACTCTGTAAGGGGCTGTGACAAACAGAAAGAGGGCAACCATAATCTCCGCTCCCAAGGAATTTACTGCCCAGATGGTTCCACACCAAGAGTCCCTGGATCCATTACTCTTATGATGCTGCGGTGAGGCCACTTCAAGGCTGGCAGCCTGCAATGGAACCCTTTCAGATAATTTTCCCCCAGAAAATGAGAACATCACATTTTTCGAGTTTAGCATCGCATCAGACACCATGGCAACAGAGGGCTGTACCAAGAATTAGCTCAGTGATGACCTAGCCAACACAAATCATCTTAATACTTACTAAGATTCTTGGAAGGAAAGGGAGTTCAAATAAATAAGTCTTTCTCTGGCTCTCAACAAGGAGAATTGTTCCCCTTCTTCCAGGGCTGTACTTCTCAAATTTTGCTCTGTGCACCCTGGGGTCAATGGAGACAGCTGTTTTCAGCTATCATGAAGCTTAAGTAAGTGTCAATACTTTGGCACACCTATAATCTATAACACCTGTAACATTCATGTCATAACAACTGGGAAGCTCTGAAGAGGACCAAAATTGCCCATAAAACATGCTCACACATAAAGTAAAACAGAAGGCCAAACCAAAATCTCACTAACCATGAACTCGTGACTAACAAAGAACCCCAGTATCTGTTTCAGATTCCACAGACACTAGGACCTGCAGGGTTATTCCATTCTGGGTGAGGCACAACTCTACCTCAGTGTCAGGCAAACAGGTTTCCTGAAAGGTCCTCACTTATACAGCTTAACAAGTGCAGGAATTGCTATGAGACCTGGACAAAGTGCTTATTCAGCAAACCCACCCTTCTAGTGAGTCAGCATTCCAAATCTCAACTGTCCTGAGTAGAAGCACAATTTTGTCAGAGCTTTCCCTGATGACCAGAAATTACTTCAAGGAAATCACAGCATATAAGGCAACTTCCTACATGAGGCTCAGTCTGAAGAGCAAAGCGACTCTCTAGGATGAGATCTCCTTTTGACAAGAGACACACTCTGGGAAGAACAGCCATTAGTAGTAAGTAGTCTTGAGTTCCATCTGTGCTAAGTGTCTTAAATGCACTGTAACTCTGCAACCACATAAAGTAGGCATGATTATTCCTATTTCAAAATGAACAAAATAGGGCTCAAAGAACTCAAGATCTCCCAAAAGCCAAAAAAATCAAAGCCTATATGCCTAACTACCAAATCGTACTGCCTCCTCAAGTCAGGGCAATGAGACTGCAACAGGAGTCCACAAGGCACAGTTAGCCCTTCACACTGGACAGAAAAGGCACAACGGATTCCTGGGGCAATGATAGATATCTTCAACCAGGCAGCACAGTAAAGTCAACCACCAAAGTCCAGATCTTCTGAATCAAAATCTCAGGGTGTGACTCTTGAATTTGTATCTTGAAAAACTACCCCCAAAAGATTTTAGACCTTCAAGGTTGACAAGGCTATACCACCTACCACATTCATGAGCGTGAATGGGCAAGCAGGAGATACACATTTGCTCTGCTCATCCCAAACCCTGGCCCCTGATAGATGCTCAATAATAATATGGTTTAATCTGTTTCCATTCTTTTTTTTTAAAACAATCGACAATCTTATATTGGTTTCAAATAAAGAACACAGTGGTGCAACAGTTACCCATATTATTAAATCCTCACCCCCTCTAGTGCAGTTCCTGTCTGTCAAGATAGAAAAATGTTATCTCTTTCCATTCTTAAACCAGAAACCTATTGCAGTGGATTCAGCGCCTACTTTATGCCAGGCACAAAGCCATGCCAATGAAGACAGAAAACAATCTACAGACCCACCACACCATCACATGACACAACAGGATATACTTAACAGTAGTTATATAAAAAAAAAGTACAGAGGAACCAATGGTTACATATAAGCAAGGGAGGTTTTTCCAAGAAAATGAAATCTAAGTTGAATCTTAAAGGAGAGATGTACATTTTCCATACTGTTGGGTAGAGATAGGGGTGCAGAGGGTAGAGAAAAATAATGAAAAATGAGAAAACTGCATATCTAAAGCACAAGGGTATTGAAACACAGAGCTAACAGCTGGCTCACACGTCCAACAACAAACTGTAAACAGAAGGCAGAAGTGCCCAGGTGCTGACTTCAAGGTTAGGCGTCTACAAGATTACGAAGAACGTTGAAAGCCTCGCTGTAAGGCAAGGCTTTCATCCTGTGGACACTGGGGAGCCACTGTTAAGCAGTGAAGGACTTATTCAGGTTTTTCAGGTGAGAATTACCACTTCGGCGGCTTCATGGAGGGGGGGTGCGCATGCAGAGCTGCGCTTCCCTTTATAAACTAAGGAATGGCTGGCTTGCCGAACAGGCCACGCAGCTGGACTCTGGCCTGCTTTTTCCCAGCCTCAATAAGGAATCGAGCAGGCCCCGCCGGCCCCTGGAGATCAGTCGCAAAGGAGGGGTGTGGTGTAGTGCCGGACATGAGAAAGCAGTGAGGACAACCGGGTGAGTTCACCCTGACCGACGCCGCTGGCTAAACAGCAAGCAGACCAACTGACCACATCCGCCAGGCCCATGCAGCCCCAGAGATGGGCTACCCAGCGAAGCGACACATTTTGAGGCCAGTTCGGCCTCGGACCCCGAGCAGCCATCGCCTGGCCTGCTCTCCAGTCCCGAAGGCCCCGGCACACCAGGCCCAGTGCGCCAAAAAAGCGACCGTGGCCACAGCTCTTCGGCCCCTCCTGCCCGTCGGGCTGTCGCCCTGGCCCGGGCCACCTCACCTCGCGCGGGCGGCGGGCTCTTCGTCGTCTCTGCGGTTGTGCTGACCCTCTCCGGGTCGTGGCCACAGCCGCCCCCACCACAGCCATCCTCAACCATCAGCTTCGTGACGTCATCATAGCGCGCTAGACACCAAAACAAACCCTGGCAGCCCACAGGGCGGGACTGGGGCCGACCCGAGCAACGCGGTTGGCAGTGCCCAGAACGGGGCTTGCCAATCAACGCCTTCAGGGCGGGGACGGACTCTCACCGCGGAGGAGACTGTATGTGTCACTCAAAGTAGCTCCAGGGTAGGCGGGGGAACGCGCAGAGGAACGTAGGGAGAAAGTTTCAAGTTTCCGATTAAGGGAGAGGACGGCCTGCAAGTGCGGACGGAATTGGGACAATGCATTTCCAATAGATGTTTCTGGAAGTGCCTTTAGAACTACACAAAGGATCGATTTAAATTCATTTAACAAATCTGTATTTTAAAACTGCATTTAAAATAATTCAGGCACATATGTGTTAAATTTGGCCTCCATCACAGTGGAGTTGCAAATGGTTAACTTGAGGATTGGTGAAGTCAAGTCTTGAATCAGCCCGCTTCGGAGTAACGGTTTTTTGTTTATCTTAATTGTTGTTGTTATTGGTACTTAATTTAAATGTATCCGGAGACTGCAAAGCAAGTAGATTTTTTTTATATTGTTACCATTAACGACTTCTTTGTAGGAGCAGAATTATCACACTGCTTTACAGTCAATCCAAATTGCTGAGGGGCAGGGGGGGAATAGATGCGGTAGGTAATAAATGGTTTGTAACCTCCATTCATCTTCCTTATTTCATTCTGTTCTTTTATTAAAATTTGTATTGGGCACTTAACTTCGCACAGGGAATTGTCTTTTACTGTATAAGTTAATGTCATACTTTAGATAAACCTATAAATATATTAACATCAATAAAATATCATGGTCTGTTTTATGTAGTAGGGTTCCATATTAAAAAAAATAAAAACTTTAAAAATTACATCCAAAAGTCTAGTGTGATGATTAAAGGTATGGGTTTAGGGACCAAATAATCTGGGATTATATCCCAGCTCTGACACTTCCATAGCTGTGTGATATTATGAAATAGGTGGAAAAAAATGGAGAGATCAGTCCCATCCCATATATGTTAAGTCCTGACAAAGTGCCTTGTGACTTGGACCACTGACTCTGTAAGGTTCCAATATGTCTTGTTTTTCATGTCAGCCTATTGCTTTAGCAAGTTTTATAGCCACTATGTCCTAGGTTTAGAGACCCCTTGGTCAGATAATCAATGGACAGAGACACAACTTGTGACATGCACATAAAAAAAGTTTGGTGTCTGATAGTTGCCTTTTCCTCATTACTATACTTAATTTTCCGGCACTGGGTGGTACGTTAATGTTACATGAGATGACCGTTGCAACATACTTATAATATGTATATAATCCAATTGTGCATGTGCTAATTGAAACCCTCCCTATTCATGTTCAATGACTTAATAATGATGAATAAACATTTTCACTCACCATAATGGGAGCCACCCTGATTCTCCTCAGGGCTCTCTCTTGAGCAGCCCACCTTGGTCTATTGAAATGTTTGTTTCCCCACTTATCTAATAAAGTGCACTGCTTGCTTATACACTCCTATGTCTTGGTTTTAAATTCTTTTAATATGCAAATATAAGGACAGAGGACCCTGTTCTAGTGTCTGCCAGTAACAATTAGATAAGACATCTCCCCTACTTAAGCTTCATCTTTCTTATTTGTATAATGGGGAACATAATCCTAACCTACAGAGTTGTTGTGAGAGTTAAAGGTAATATAGAATTCCAGAGTTGGTGAGGCTTAGAAATACACACAACACCCCTGCTTTACAGACATTCAGCAAATTAATTCGACAAATATTTATTCAGCCCTTGCTATAGGCAGTTGCTGGTCTGGGCTCTGGTGAAGAATACAGGACCCTAAGATGAGGAGGTATGTTGATGCAGAGGAGACTGGGATCAGGACATCCAGGCTCCAGGCTTTCCCTGAAAAATCAGCTATTCCATGTCCACAGAGCTGCAAATGTGAGATGCACCACCACCATGATGCTGTGACCTGGGCAGCTGTGTCCAGGGATCAGTGTTTTGCTATCAGCCCACCCCTCTCCTCCAGCTCTGAGATAAATACACAAAGCTCTTAAACCCATGGCCAGAGAACAGATTCTGTCCCCACCCCCATTCCCATGCATACACTGTAGGGAACTCAATTCCAGGGAAGAGCAAGGATTTAGGGGGCAAAAAACAGGGGAAAGTAGGTCATGGTGGGGGATGGTAATCCCCCTGATGCCTGACCAAAGCTGTTGGGCACCTGCTCCTGAAAGCAGGCTGCTCCTGGCCATCCACAGAGTGGCTCTGAGAAAACTGTTGGGGTTTGGAGCCCCAACACCATCCTTCCAAACAGTATGCCCAGGCTAGGGTGCTGCCCCAAATGATACATCCCCTACATTGTAGTCCTTCTCAATCCAAGCTCTTGGTGACTGTAACATGTCCTACACTGGACCTAGAGATTCTATTTCTCATTCTACACAGTCCTATATGTGTACTCTTTATACCCAGTCCTGGGTTGAATGCTAGAGACACAAAGAGGATCCTGGGAAGTCCACAGTGGGGAATTCTGACCCAGGCCCAGATGGTAACAAGCCAGTGCTATCAGTACTGAGAGAGAAGACAGCCCAGGAGCTCAGTGCAGACCTGAAGGAGGCTTCTAATACAGCTAGGAGTCATGGATAGGAAGGAGGTAGTCCTAAACAATAAGTAGGAGTTCACCAGGAGGAAATGGAGGATATTCTGAACACAGAGAATACATGTACAAAGACCTAAAGGAATAAAAAGTTGACCTTTCCTTCTGGAAAATTCTGGTGGCCAAGGAAGAGGCAGATCTAGAAGGGCTTTTTTCCTGAACTTTCTCCTTTAGGCAATGTGAGAAGATGGGTAATGAATTGTTGGGAGAGAGAAGTGGGGTTAAAAGTACAGGTGAATGAATCACAGGAGCAAAGACAGGGCAAAGAGGGAATTAATTGAGGCATCTGAACTCCTTGGAATGGGAGGGTGTTTGGGAAGCATGGATGAAAATAGGGCTCCTACACATGTGGGTAGATATCTCTGGAGACACTTGCCACCCAGGGGCCTAAGCAAGGGTCCTATTAAGCTTGATTCTGTTTTGAGGGCAACAGCTTCCCAGCATGGGCTTTAATGTAAATCTGGCTTGTAAAGCTCTGGACTCCCACTCATCCTTCCTCCCCAGCTCATTATTTTGGACCCTCTTGCAAAGCCCTCTCCAACTCAATCCCACCTCTCATCCACCACTCCTAAGTATCACATCCTGACCTCTTCTCACCTCCTATCACACTGCTTCCCTAAGCCTCCCCTAATCCCAAGGACTGGATGGGTGGGTCACTCTTCTGTGCTGCTACAGAGGGAAGTTGCAGGAGTAGACTGAGTGAACTATGGGCCAAGCTGGCTCCCATAGGTCCTTGTAGACAGTGAAAAGGAATTTAACATCAGGATCAGTGTTTCAATTTAGAAAATGGAGAATAAAGTGGAGGAAGTGAGATATACTCTGATTTCTCTTCAAATCGTATAAATCTTTCACCTTTTAAAGTGGAGGAAGTGAGAGTAGAAGCCAGTACCCATGGCAGTGCCCACACAAGTCGGGTGATGGCTTGGCATAGGGTCTTGGCAGTGGTATTAGGGGAATGATCAAAAGAGGGTCTCTTCCTCTCTGAGGTTTCTCCTTCCCTCAGGTCTGCCCATGCTGATTCTTGCTCTTCCTCTTCACCACAGTGAACAGGTGGAAAGATCAACTCCTCTGGGGCTACCTCACTTATTCCATGCTTCCAGAAAATCTTTTGGGATTGTTTGACAACATGCTGCACACTTCTTTTCAAAGAACAAGCTTGTGTAGAGCAGAGCCAGAGGAACCCTCACTGTGGCGCCTGCTTCTGCAGCTCCAGAACACTTCAGGACTTGAATGTGGGCTCCAGCAAGGGTTCCCCACCTTCTGGAACAGGTTCTCTTAGGATGGACCAGGTGGTCAGAGAAGGAGAGGTCAGAGCACATATTCTGTGTTGTGCCTTGAAGGCTAAGGTGGTAGTTCAGCAGAGGAAGGAAGAGGTGAGATGGTCAGGAGTCTGGAGGCTGGACCAAACCTGGGGAGGTGGGGTGGACTGGCTGGGGAGAGGGTGTGTAGAACATTCTACCACTTCACAAGGTCCCTAGGGGTCAGGATAGGAGGGGCAGGCAGGGTTAGAAGTACCGGCCCTGGAAAGACACAGAAAGCCTGTGCATTCCGGCAAATCTCCGGTCACCACCGGAGTTCTTGGAACCTGCAGGCAATGGAAAGCTCTGCACTACCCCTGGGAAATAAGTGTTTTTAAGGAAAAAGACTGACTCCGCTGCGACTGCCTTCAGCCCTGCCTATCCCACCCTGGGGATCAGCTTCTGGAGGCCTCCGCCCCAGCCAAGCAGCGGAAACCGGAAGAAAGGAAGAAACTTAGTACAAATATAAATACATTTAATGAAAGCTGAGCGCACTTTGCAAAGCCCCGACGGCAGCCGCCCAAGCAGCGCTGAAGGGGGGGCCACTGTTACCCGATCAGAGGCCTCAGGAGGCAGGCGAGCGCCAGAGCTGTCACCAGCAGTGGGAGCTCGGGGGCCGCGGTGTGTACAGGCGCTGTCGCCCGCAGCGTCTCCTGGTTGGTTTCAGGGCCCGTGCCACTCTCTTGAATCCTAACAGGGGTGTCACACAGAGCGTGCAAGTTATCTGGGTGACGGGCCCGGCGAGCTTCTTGCTGTAGTGACTCCCACACGGCAGCCGCCTCCTCCGGGCAGCCTGACAGGACTCGCGAGGCACAGGTGTGGAAGTCATTCCAAGACCTGTTAAAGGCGCGGAGTCAGGGGAATTAAGTGGTGTGAAGAGGCTTTGATATGGGAAGGGGGCGGTTCAGGCCCCTAGGGTGGCAGGGGCTGGGCTACTGCCCTCGCACATGCCCGCACCTGCAGATAGTCTCCAACTCTCCTCCGTGGCCCATGCCGTCCCCCAAACGGATGAGACACTCGGCGAAGCCCTGGTATATGGTGTTACATTGGCCT